CGCAGAAAAAGCTCGACCGCCTCGCAGGCACACTCGGCGTCAGCGTGATCGATGAGCTGGGTGCTGTGCCGGGGCCCTTGCTGCATGCGGATGCACTGCGCGCGACCTACGGCAGGGCGCTGCGCTACAACCTCGATTCTACCAAGTTCATGCTCCCGCAGGAGACGTGGGGGCGCATGCCGGCGAAGATCCTCTGCGGGGACTTGTACCAGTTACCGCTGGTCCCCGCCAGCGCCTCCCTGCTGGCGCCTCGCACGGGCCAGTCCTGCGAGCGCCAACAGGCTCGGAAGTTGCTCGCCGACTTCGAGTTCGTCGTCGACTTCGCGCAGATGCAGCGCTTCACAGACCCGCTGCAGGTCGAGGTCCTTCACGCCATGAGGACTCCAGGCGGCAAAAAGATCTCTGACGAGAGCTGGCAAGCGATTCTCAAAACAGAGATCGTTATCTCCAGCGGTGCTGGTCAGCCTGCTGCCAGCACCAGCGAAGCCGCTCAGCAACCCCAGTGGGGCTACCAGTTGCGTGCAGCACGATGCTGGCACGAGTCGGATCATGAGTGGCGCATCGTCTCGTACGCCATGCATGCGCGCACGATGCTGACCAGCTCCTCTTCTACGTGCCGGCGGTCGACAGACCAGCCGCGCGCCTCGCGAAGCCTGACTTCGGCAAGATGCGCGCGGAGCCCAACATCGGCGCTACTGGAAAAATGCCGGGTCTGCTGCCGCTCTTCCTCGGCGTGGAGGTCACCCTGACGGAGTCCGTCTTGCCACCTAAGCATGTCCGCGGCGCGCCGGGCGAGGTGGTAGGCGTAGAGCAGCACGCTCTGGAGCCTCCCGTGGAGGGTCGCGCGTCCCTTGTCTCGGATGGTGTTGCGGTGCTCCGCTACATGCCCAAGGCCGTCTATGTCAGGATCGATGACAGCGATGAGCTCTTCTTGAAGGCCGCGCTGGTGACTGCTGGCAGTGCTTCTCAGCCTGCCGGCCCTAACCTGCACGGAGTGCTCGCGATTGCCCCGCAGGCCCGTCCCTGGAAGTTCAAGGCAACGGCGGATGGCCCGGCCATCACGGTCTCCAGGACACAGTTGACCGCGCTGCCCAAGAAGCAGGGCACTCTGCATGGCGTGCAGGGCAAGACGGCGGACCCAGGCTTCATCGTGCACTGGGCGTTTCCGCCAGGACTCAAGAAAGAGTCAATTTGGCTGGCCTACTACGTCAGCCTGTCGCGGCCCCGGAGCTTCGGCCAGCTCTTGAGCCACGGCTTGGCTGACCGGAGCATCATCGAGTCAGGCCCCCCAGAACAGTTCGCGAATGCCTTCGACGAGTTCTTCGCAGACAAGATTGCCGCGACAAAAATCGCCAGCGCGAAGGCCCGACAGGCGCTGGGCTGGCCTGCGCGAGCTTGAGGAGCCCTGAGATGCAGCCTGCTTTGTGGCGGTGCTGTTCAGCCTGGCCGTCTGCATTCGCGTGGTTCTTCTCAGCCTGCATTCGCGCGGTGCTTCTCAACCTGCACTCGTGTGCAGCCGTGGATAGTGAGATGCGGTGCTCCTCGGCGCATTTCGTTTGAGGCTGAATCCATTGATAGCAGTGACTCGTTTGGACTTACATCCATTGATAGCAGCGTCTCGTTTGGAATGAACACAAAAACAATGTGCTGTCTCGTTGATGGCAGTGCCTCCTTCGCAGAGACATCCACTATTGATAGCAGCGTCTCGTTTCCAGGCGCATCCGTAGCAGTAAGTAGTGTCTCGTTCGAAATTAAATTCACTGATGCTCGTGTCTCGCTTGGGGCGGAAACCATTGTTAGCAGCGTCTCGCTTGCACCTACACCCCTGCATAGCAGCGTCTCGTTTGGAATGAGCACACAAAGAATGTGCTGTCTCGTTGATAGTAGTGCCTCCTTTGCAGACACGTCCACCATTGATCGCAGCGCTTCGCTTCCAGTCAAATCCGAACATGAATCTACAGAAGAATGCTTCCATATATGCTCATACACATGGCTGTTAGGTGACGCTGGGATAATTTTACAAGGGGTGGTGGGGGGGTGTCGGCATGGGTTCGGGTTGGCCCCCAGTCGCCTGGGGGAGGGGGTATTTATTAATAGGGAGCAGTGATCAAGCAACCCCCTCCCCGCCCGCAAGCCGTTTCGCTCACCCCCACCCGCCCTCCCAACACGTACGTAGCACCAGAGCCTGGCCCGAGCCTCAGCATATTCAGCAGTCGTCTTGGGATGGGCAGCTACTGGGGGCCAATCCGCCGCCGCCGCCGCCGCCGCCGCCGCCGCCGCCGCCGCCGCCGCCTCCGCCACCGCCGCCGCCGCCGCCGCCACCCGTTGCCAAACCGCCGCCGCCGCCGCCGCAACCGCTGCCGCCACCGCCACCGCCGCCGCCGCCGCCGCAGCCGCCGCTGCCGCCGCGTCCGCCGCCCCCGCCGCCGCCGCCGCCGCCGAAACCGCCGCAGCCGCCGCCTCCGCCGCCGCCGCAGTTTTTTGACACGGATGGTGGGGGGGGGGGCGCATTGGGTTGGCTGCGCATATTCCGAATTTGGAGGCAGAGTGTGTTTTGCATTGTTTTTTACGACGGATGGTGGGGGGGGGGGGTTGGCATGGACCCTGGTTGGCCCCCAGTCGCTTGGGGGAGGGGGTGTTTATTAATAGGGAGCAGTGATCAAGCTACCCCCTCCCCGCCCGCAAGCCGTTTCGCTCACTCCCACCCGCCCTCCCAACACGTACGTAACACCCGAGTTTGGCCCGAGCTTCAGCATATTCAGCAGTCGTCTTTGGATGGGCAGCTACTGGGGGCCAATCCGCCGCCGCCGCCGCCGCCGCCGCCGCCCCCCGCGCCCCGCCGCCGCGCCGCGCCGCGCCGCCACCGCCGCCGCCGCCGCCCGCCCGCCGCGCTGCCCGCCGCCGCCGCGCCGCCGCCGCCTGCGCCGCCGCCGCCCGCCCCCGCCGCCGCCGCCGCGCCGCCGCCGCCGCCGCCGCCGCGCCGCCGCCGCCCCCCGTTGCCAAACCGCCGCCCGCCGCAACCGCTGCCGCCATCGCTACCGCCGCCGCTGCCGCCGCCGCCGCCGCCGCAGCCGCCGCCGCCCCCGCCGCCGCTCCCGCCGCCGCCGCCCGCCCGCCGCTGCCCGCCGCCCGCCGCCGCCCGCCGCCGCCTGCGCCGCCGCCGCCTGCGCCGCCGCCGCCCGCCCCCGCCGCCGCCGCCGCCGCCGCCGCCCGCGCGCCGCCGCCGCCCTCCGTTGCCAAACCGCCGCCGCCGCCGCAACCGCTGCCGCCATCGCTACCGCCGCCGCCGCGCCGCCGCAGCCGCCGCCGCCCCCGCCGCCGCTCCCGCCGCCGCCGCCGCCGCCGCCGCCGCCGCCGCTCCCGCCGCCACCGCCGCCGCAGCCGCCGCAGCCGCCGCTGTCGCCAAGTGTACTCTGTATTGTTTTTTGACAGGGATGGTGGGGGGGGGCCGCACCGGGTTGGTTGCGTTTGTTCCGAATTTGGAGGCAGAGTATGTTTCGTATTGTTTTTTACAACGGATGGTGGGGGGGGTCGTCATGGACCCGGGTTGGCCCCCAGTCGCCTGGGGGAGGGGGTGTTTATTGATAGGGAACAGTGGTAAACCCCTCCCAGAAGGGGAAGAAAGGGGTGGAAGAGGAAACTCCCTAAACCACCTATGCCCAGAGGGCAGGTGGGATTTTTTGGGCTAGTTTTGAATTTTCCGTTTAAGATCTGCCTGTAAGGGGGACATGCCCGACCTAAATCTAGGCTCGGCGAAGACGTCAGGAGTGCGGGGCCTTAGCTTCTGTTGTTTCATTGTTTTTGATTTGTGCACGGAGCGTTGCAGAACACCCTCGGATTGCCCAAGTCGCCCAGAATCCAGGCTCTGAGGAACGTAAAACTCGAATGTGCCGGAGCTCGGGTCTGCCGACGTTTTCTGACCAGCTCGTTCTGGATTGAGGCGGTACAGTTTTCGTGGGATGTTTGCGGCGGGACTTCGCATCAATTTTCAGACTGTGTCGCGCCATTTTCATGATGGCCCGTCAGGCCAACTCGGATTCCCCGAACCCGAGTCTCACGTCTCCCAGATAGGCCTCCCTCCTGGGGTCCGAGTAGATGGGGCCCGAGGATCGCGCCGCATCGCCGATGCATCGGCGATGCGACGCGATGTGGAGCCTCTAAAAAGGGGCACGACGGGTGCACGTCTTTCCCCCCGTTTATCGCCCCCCATTAAGCAACGCCCAGGGGCCCGTCAACGAGGAGAGGAGTCCTTGGCGCTCGAAGCTGGAAGCTCAACGTCCCAGGTTTGACATCGTTTTTCGCCGCCCTCTCTTCGGTTCGATCTGCATGGGTACCGAAAATGGATTCGCAAACAGGTGCCAGTTCTTGCCTTTCTTGTAAACAGGCCGCTCGTTAGTTCGAGGTCACCATACGGGGTGTTACCGTACAGTTTCCGCATCGCCACGGAGGATGGGGGATCGATGACCAATGCTATGGAACGTTCTTTGATTGTATGTTGACGCGACGCGCGGCGGGAGACTGGTCGTCGTCATGCCTCTTCCTCCTTCGCCTTTTCTTCCAGGATCAGTGCGATGCCAGAAGCAGCTCCTTTGCTCGGGCCAGATCGGGGAAGAGGGGGTCTGATACGAACTCCGTTGCATGCAGCTTCGGCCCCGCCGCAGGGCGCTTGCCTCGATGTACGTGGCCGCTTTCGGTGCCGGGAGGCGCCCTGTGCTACGCGAGCCAGTTCGCCACCTTCTCTTTGCTTTCCCCCCTTACGTTTAAGTCGGGCGTGCCCCTCTACAGGAGGAATATTCAAAAATAACCCCAAAATAGTCAGGGGACGATTTTTCTGCTATTGTTTGACAGTGTTTGTTCATTGTTTGACTATTTATAACTTGCCGCCCAACATCCGCCTGTAGGGGGACATGCCACACGTAACCTCACGTCCGAGCCGAGCCTCTGCTCCGATCGCCTCCTCGTCACTCTGGCCTCTGCCCATTTCCGCAGTTACGGCGATCAGCAGCCGTATCTGGCTCAGGAGTCCCGTCGCTCTGTGCAGCCGAGCTCCCGCTCTGCGGAGGAGGCCGCGTACGCGCTGTTGCTTACCCCCGGGGGGAGAGGACGACGACGACGAGCAAGAGGAGGAGGAGGAGGAGGAGGAGGAGGAGGAGGAAGAGAAGGAAGATTAAAAGCAAGGGCAGCAACATCAATCAGTAGCAGCAGGAGGAAATCGAGAACGAGGAGGAGAGGGGTACTTGTCTTGCTCCTCTCGAGGTCGGATGAGCCACGCTTTCTTTTTCTGGAGTGTTCGGGTGCGGTTCGTGCATCGGCGCCAGCCGTCCAGGAACCTTGCCACAGTTCTGTCATCGTGTATTCTGCCCCCACTCCTGTCTGTCGCTGTCCGACGAGTGCTATGTGTTCACATGTACGCATGCATTATGATCATCGTACCTTCTGTGTCCTTTTTCGGCTCACCTGGTCCTGTTGTGTCTTGCTGTGTAGCTATCCTTATCTTTCACTTCTCGCTCTCTCTCTCTCTCTCTTTCCCTCTCTCTCTCTCTCTCTTCCCGTACCTCTGTGCTTCTCTTTCACGTCCCTCTCTCTCACACTCCCTCTCTTTCCCCTCAGTCCCTTTCTTTCCTTCTCTCTCTCTCACACACTCCCTTCCTTTCACGTCCCTCTCTCTCACTCTCCCTCTCTTTCCCCTCAGTCTCTTCCTCTCTCTCTCTTTCACTCCCTCCCTTTCCCCTCAGTCTCTCTCTCTCTCTCTCTCTCTCTTCCTGCCTCCCTCTCACTCTCTCACTGTCTTTTGTGTTCTCTCTCTCTCTCGCTCTCACTTGATCCCTCCCTTTCTTATGTTTGTTCGTTTCTCTCTCTCTCTCTCTTTCCCTCTCTGCGTTTCCCCCTATTCTGCTCGTGCATACTGTATCTTTCCTTCGGTCTACTATCCCTTTCGTGTTTCGTCGCCTCTCTTTACATTGTTTCCTCATCCCTGTAGCCTGCACACTACTTCCTCTCCCTTCCCTCTCTCTACAATGTCATTGGGTATGCCTTTCCGTCCTGTCCCCCTCTCTTCAGCTTCTCCCTCCCATCCTTTCGTACTTATCTGTGTGGGTACACATCTGCATGTACACATCTGCTTCGTGCAACATATGTTGCGCAATATATGTCTCGTGCATTATATGTGGTGCGATATGTGTTTTCTGCAGCCCATCTTGTGCAACATAGGTGGTGCAATCTATGTGGTGCAACGTGTGATGCAATCTATGTTGAATGCAATACAGATGGTGCAACATATGCGAAGCAATCGACGTGGTGCAATCTACACAGTGAGGCTACTTGTTGTCAACTCCACTGCTCGCGCAATCACCCCACCCACCCACCCACCCGCATCTGGATTTGCCAAACCCATGCGGCGGCGTTTGCGATGCATGCTTGGTGTTTGCTGGTGCATCGTTGCGGTTGCGCTAGCCTTCGCATGCTCGCGCGCGCAGCGACCAGCTAGTTTGGCGCGACCCACGCTGCCGCTGTGGCGCTGACCGCAGTTCGTTTTCAGGCGGGCACCTCACCGCGAGTCGGTGAGTTGTGCGGGCGCGGCATCGTGGCGACGTCGAATGCGATAGTCGCGATGGTGATAGTGGCGGCGGCGGCAACGATAATGGTGCCGACGGCAATGCCAACGACGGCGCCGATGCTGGTCGTGCCAATGACGATTGTGGTGTCTTTCTTCGCGTCGGTGATGAAGGTTTTGGAAGGAGTTCGACATGCGCGCGCGGCCGACGCGCGAGAGTAGCCCGCTTTTTTTGTTACACGGATCGTGCCCCCCCCAGCACTTGCGCACTGGCGTTCGAATGATTTTGGCAGGCGGCGCGAGAGGCCCGCTTGGCAGAATTTTGCGGTCATCTTGAACAGCCGATGGGTTTCTGAAGAATTCGCAACAACTCGCATGCGTTTTGTGGACTTTGATGTTACAAGACCATATTTTGTATATGGTAGCGGGACCCCCGATTTCGAATCCTTGCGGAACCACTGATTTTTGATAAGGATTTCGGCATGTGCGCGCAGCGACGCGCGCGCGTGCACTTCGTCAAATTTCGTCGCGCTGGGTTCTTGCGACAACACGCGCGCAAAAGGGCGCTCGACCGAGTTTTTTTTGGGGGGGGGGGGCATTTGGTAGCATTTTATAAAAATGTAGAATAACCGATGGCCTTGAAGAGCCGGGTTGGGGAACATTTGTTTGTATGGAAAATCAGCATGCTCGCGTGACGGCGCGCGCGCGTGCATTCCGTGCCGTTTTTGCACAGGCTTGCGCGCGCATATTCTGAGATGTTTCTGGGTGAGGGGTTTGGGGGTGGGGGCGAGCAGGGTTTGGCAGGGGCGATGCGAATTGGATTTTAGGATGGTCTGAATCGCATGCAGATTGCAGCTCGACAGGGGAGCGGTTCAGAGCTGGACGGGGGGGAGGTAGATCTGATTTGTCGATCAGAACGGAGAATCTGAGTTCATAATCTTACATGTAAGCGGTCCGACCACGAGACGATCGGGAGAACACCGCGGGGCAACCAGGGCGGCAACGGCGGGGCAGCCACGGCAGACCACCGGACACACACACGGCACAGCCACGGGACAGGACAAGCGCAGGGCAGCCGCCAGAGAACCACGGGACGGCCACGGACAACCGCGGGGCAACCACGGGACAAGCGCGGGACAACCACGGGACAGCCACGGGACAGCCACGCGACGTCCATGGGACTGTGCGGGACAGCCGCGGGGCAGTCCGTGGACATTTCCGGGCACGCCTTTGGCGCTTGGATTTCGACTCATTTGGGCGCAACTCGGGCCCAGCAGTGTGAGAATTCGGGAGGTTTTGCCTTGACCTCACGTGCACGACCTGAGCCGACTTTGATTTCCCGTTTGGGGGACTGCGTTTCTCCCAGGGTCAGGGGCACATGCAGGGTAGTTCGAGCTGTGTACAGCTCACTTACCTTGGAGGGCCTTGCTGAGGTTCGCTCGCAGGCTCTGACCCACGCACTATGGTGCGCCACCTGATCTCTCTTTTTTGTTTGTTCTCTATCTCTCTATCTCTTGCAGTTTCTGGCCCACGCACCCTGTTGCGCCTCCTGATCTCTCTCTCTCTGATATGTTTTTTTGTTTCTCTCTCTCTCTCTCTCTTTTGTTCTCTCTCTCTCTCTTTCCCTCTCTCTCTCTCTTAGTTTTTTTGTTTTTTTTTTTCTCTCTCTCTCTCTCTCTCCTCTCTCTCTTTCGCTCTCTCGTCTTCGCTCCGCGGGCTAGTCTGCCACCATGGTCATCAAGACGGACCTGTGCGCCTACACCGAGTACCGCATCTACCCAGGAAGCGGGCGCCGCCACCGGGCCCCTCTCCCCACGAGGAGGAGGCGGGCGGAGACCAGGGAGAGGGCGGAGGCTGCGGGAGGGGAGACCCTGCCTCCGCCTGCCCTGTGCCCTGCGTGCCTGCGTCCCCGCCGCCTTCCGGCGCGCCCCGCGGCCGCGCTCCGCCTAATAGGCCCCGCCCTCCTCTGCCGCGGGACGGCTCGTTGGAGGGGTAGGGGGTCCTCCCCCTCCTCCTCCTCCTCCTCCTCCTCCTCCTCCTCCTCCTCGTACTCCTTTCCTCGTACTCCACCTCCCTCCCCCCTCCAGCTTATGGTGGTGGTGGTGGCGGAAAACGGGCCCATCAGTGCGAATGGCTGCCTGCCGCGCTGCGACGCGGGCAGAGACGGTGCCGTCGTCCGCCGCAGGCAGGCCGCCACCGGGAGCCGGAGGCCCGTGCGGTGCGGCGGCGACGACGAGGGCGGACAGCCGCGGGGTGCGGGCACTGCACGCGCTCGCCTGGGAGACTCGCCGAAGGCATGGAGCATCGGCTCGGAGGCGGTGTTTCTGTCCCAACCCCCGGCTGTTCGACGACGAATGGAGCGGCGAAGAGAAGGGGGGAAACTCTGGGATACACCCCCAGGGGCTATTCGGACGCACCCCTATCGAGGATGGACGCTCCCCTCCGTATATCCCAGGGTTGGCCCCCAAATTTTGGGTCCACTCGAAAACCCCACGAAGCCTGGGATCGGGGTCAACACATCCCCTGTTATCGGCGCCCCTGGATGCACGTACCCTGACCTTTCAGAGTGTTTTCGTTGATGTTTCGTTTCGTTTTTCGTTGTTGGTTTAAACGCCCCGTTTCGTCGTTCGTTTTGTTCGGCACCGGCTTCGTTTTAAACGTTTGTTTTAAACGTTGGGCTTTGTTTCTCATTTCATTGTAAGCGCCATTTCACTTTAAACCTCGTTGTGGTCGGTCCCTGCATAGACTTGAATCGGGCCTGTCCCTCTACAGGGGGAATATTCAAAAATGTTTGAATAATAGTCTGGGGACGATGTTTTGAGCATTCTTCGACCATTTTGAGCATCCAAAATCCCCCTGTAGGAGGACGTGCTCGACGTGAGCATACACCATGCGATCTGTCATATGGCGTTTGGTTGGCAGCTCGATCAGAGCCCACGAAATCCAAAGTGTTGTTTGCGCCAATCGACGTGGTTGTCATGCACCTTTCGAAACGGAAGCAACTGCACAAACATAAACTGTCGGCGCTCCGCGTGGATTCGTTGGATCGGCACTAGCGCCCCCCTGGCGGCGCGTCCGGCGCCGTCCCAGGCGCGCTCCGCGCGCCAGGAAGGGGGACAGCATGCTGCGCATGGAGAGAAGCCAATGATAGGGAAGACGATGAGGTTAGGATGCCTCTCTTGAGTTCGCGCTGACTATAACGCCCACTCTTGCCCACCCCGTCCCGTCTATAGGGACTTGCGGACCTCCGAGACCAAGGGCGCCCGCACTCGAGGTTCGGCTCCGATTCCTCATCCTCCTCTTCTCCCTTGGGAGGCGGTGCCAGAGCGCGAAGTTGTTCGCACTTCGCGCTTCGCGCTTCGCGCAGCGCGAAGTTGGGAGCCCTTGATGTCGTGGTGTCACATCGGGAAGTCCACTGAAGGCCCGCGCGGCAGAGACCGCACGGCGACACCGTTTCCATGTTGGGCTTGCCCTTCACAGGTTTCGTGGCCCCAGCTCCACCGCAGGCCCCAGTGGCAGCGCCCGCATGGCGGTGCCGCCTCTGTGTCGGCATCTTCCTTACACGAATTGTGGCCCCATAGAGGACCCCACCGAAGGTCCAGTGGCAGCGCCCGCACGGCGGCTCCGCCTCCACGCCGGCACTTCGCTCACACGTTGGGGAGCTCCACCGAATGCCGCAAGAGCAGCGCCCGAATGGTGGCGCCGTCCCTGTTGCGGCACAAGACCCTCAAACGCCGCGTTGCCCCATGAGGGAGCTCCACCGAAGGCCCCAGTGGCGATGTCCGCATGGCGACGCCGCCCCCATCTCGACACGCCGCGCACGTTTCGGGGCCGCCAGCCGCACTGCCCCATCGTTCATCTCTGTCGCGGCGCGCTAGATATGATGAGAGGGGTATCTCCTGCGTTGGCTCCTTCGCAGCTTTGCGCTATTCTGCGTATCGAGCGTCCCTCCCGCTCTCTCAGTCCCTCTCTCTCTATATATATATGGTCTATGCCTTCTCCTCGTCCCAACTCCTGGCGATCTTCCTTACTCGCCTGATTGTTTTGCTGATTGGTAAACGTGTTGCGAGGACATGCGATTGCCTTTCCCACTCTGCAGCATGCGACGCCCGTGGAGGCCCTTGATGCTGGGTTGCTGTGTGCGTGAGCCAGGTGAGGGCGCATAATGCCAGCACGCGTTCTCTCGTTCGGCATCGCCTCGCGCCCTCGTTGTCTGTACAGCCCAGCACACCTTTGTTAGGTTGCAGCTCTTGGAATCCCAAGTTCAGCATTGATATGAGTTAAGACCAGCCAAATCCGACATACTCCCGCCTAACCCGCGTACACCAATCAGGGACCTTAAGAAACGAAAAGCTGTCCAGGACCCCACATGTCGTTCAAGACCCTGGGCGTTTTCTTGGATTCGCTTTTCTTCGTAGAGTGTCCGTATATGTGGACTTTGACTATTGGTGGGGAAAACGCTTCGAGTGAAGTCCAGCTCCTCATCCTAAACTGTTTTGAATTCTGACCAGGGGGGCGTAATCTCGAGCTCGGTTTGGCCTGATGTGGTTTAATGGCTTCCACGGAGACCTCCCAGGAGTTGCCTCCCGACAGCTGCTGGCTGTGCAGTCCGACGCGCCTGTCCCCCCTCCCGCCCCCAGGAGGCGGCAAGCGGTTCGTGGCGAGGGACGGCAAGGCGCGCCGCCCGCGGGGGAAGGCACGGGCTTGCTTCCGCGCTTCAGACTCTGGGACGGCGTCGCCAAGGGAAAAGGGGAAGGAGGAGGAGGAGGAGGAGGGGGAGGAGGAGGAGGAGGAAGAGGAGGAGGACCAGGAGGCGGAGGACCAGGAGGAGGAGGAGAGGAGGAGGAGGATGATGATAAGGAGGAGGAGGAGGAGGAGGAGGAGTCGAATCACGTGTGAAACTGCACCCTCTTCCACACGAGCATTTAGCGATGAAGGCGGCCACAGAACTGGTAAATACCTGGATGCAGCTTTCTTGCGTCTGACTGCCTTATTGACCAAACTTCTTCGCCTGTTGCGAACAAACATGCCATGATCTGTCGGAGCTCCGCGCGGATTCTAGGACCTGCACGGGACCCCGTCTGGCGGCGCCTCGGGCGCCGACCCTGGCGCGCTCCACGCGCCGGCGAAGGAATGATGGGGGCAGGGGCAGGTTTGTTGCTGCTGTGGGCCGCTGCCAGTCAAACTTCCAACGAGATTGCTGAGCAGGGGGGGGGGATAATTACACTGAGCTTCTCGACGCTGCGCGTATCCCCACCAGCCCATCCAGAAGCGATGCCCAGGCGAGTTGCTTGGGTCAGGACACCAGCAGAAACAGTCGAACAAGTTTTTGAATCAGCCTGATAAGACCCAGTACTAGGACGACAGCGATGAGGAGGAGGAGACGGACGAGGACGGCAAGGACGACGAAGAAGACGAGGAGGAGGAGGACGAGGAAGAGGAGACGAGGATGAGGAGGATGAGGAGGAGTAAGAGGATGAGAACGAGGAGGGGGAGGACGAGGAAGAGGAGAAGGGCGAGGAGGAAGAGGACGAAGACGAGGAGGAAGGCGACAACGACTTGGGCATCCATCTTGTAGTCTTCTGGAGTCCCTCTCAGGGTCCTGTTGGGCCTCTCTTGCGGCTATTTTGCAGGGTTCGGAGGTTTGCCTGGGGGCTGTTTGAGGGGTTCTTTGGGCCCTCTTGGAGCCATCTTGTGGGCTTCTTCTTGGGAGCCTTACACGGACGGCATCTTGGTGCCGTCAGGGCGTCGATCACAAGGGGGGGGGGGTCTCGATTTCCTTCCCCTCTCTAGGGCCATCAACATCGCCCCTTGGGGCTCTCTGGTGGCGCTCTTGTGCGCTCTTTGGGCCATCGTGGAGGCCTCATGTGCCCATCTTTGAGGCTCTCTTGGGCCATCATGGTGCCATCTTGAGGCCTCGACAACTCATCGGAAACGACAAGGCGCGAAGACACATTATTGATTTCTTGATGCTTTTAGAGTTGGGCCTCTTGGGGGGTCCTTGGGGGGCTCCGATAGCATTTGGAACCATCTTGTAGCACTCTTGTTGCCTCTTGGAGGCAGGATGGAGGCTATCTTGAACCATCCTCGGCTATCTCGGGCCATCTTGGGTGCCAGCGTGGGGCATCGGAGGCCCTCTTGGAGACATCTTGGACCATCTGGGGCACTCTGAACGCCTCGCGACCCGGCCCCAAACCTGAGGGAGGGGGTGGGGTGGCAGGGGGAGGGCACCGATCCCCGAAGGGAAGAGGGGCTTTGGAGGAGGGAGGGCAGATACCATTAGACCACCTCCGCGGGAGGGCATCCGTCCCCAAGGAGAACAGGGGGTTTGGGAACAGAGGAGGCACATACCGTTCAACCACTTACGCCCAGAGGGTTGGTGGGATTAGGGCCTTAATGGTGCTCCCCCAGTGCGGGCATGATTTTTAGGGGTCGGCGACTACAAAGGGTGTGGTTACGCCGGGGCGTGGTTTGTGATCGGCACCTTTGGGGACTGGGGGCCGCGACACTGTCCTCGTCGGGTCTCCTTAGGATCGGCGATACATGCCCCCGATCATGAATCCGCACGTTCCTGGGTTGGGGCTATCGGACCCCTACTGGCGATCAATGGGCGAGTGGGGGTCGATGCATCATCCCCCGCTATGCCGATCCCCCCTATCGTTGCCCCCCGATCTGCTGGGAAGCAGGCGATGAGGAGGACGAGGTGGAGGAGGAGCGCAGTGATGGCCCGAGGTCGAAAAGCAGGGCGGTGCAGTGCGGAGCGAGCTTGGCAGGCTGGGCGACGGGCGCAGGGAGCGGAGGCGGGCCGGGCGGGGCAACCGCGCCAGGTACAATTGTTGCTGATCCTCCGCAGGCCAGGTGTCGTCACCATCTTGAGTGATAGCATGGGCCGGCGACCACAACGAGTATGGTGACGCCAGGGCGTGGCGGTTTGCGATCGGCACCGTTGGGGACTGGGGAGCACGACGCCGCCATCGTCGGGCCTCCTCGCGGCGCGGCGGAGAACTCAATCGAGGTCCCCGCCCGCCCCCCAGGGTGCTTGCCAGGGTGCACCCTTCGGAGTCGCCGAACAGGCTATCGTGCATTCCGCCGGGTCGTGGCAGGTGGGGGGCTGCGCGAGGCGAGCGAGCATGCAGGGAAAGACATCCAGCTCGGTGGAAGGGCCACGGTGTCGAAGAACGCCACACGCACGCACGCCGATTCTGGCCAGGCCAGGCTGGGGCCCAGGACCTGTGTACATTGAGTGCGCCTTCCTGAACGAGTCGAGACAGCGCGGACATGCCATCAATCCTGGGCCCCAGCATGGCCCTCGCGAGGATCGGTGTAGGTCCCATGCCTGGCGCGCCCGCCTGCAGGAGACACCTCGGCCCCCTTGAACCTCGCAGCCCACACTGAAGCCTCCCCCTGCAGCACCTCTCGGCACTCTCCCGCGTGCGGCCCATCGCAGCGGCGTTCGCCAGTGTCGGGCAGGCAGCCTCAGGACACGGCCCAATCTCTCTGGAGCGCTCCTAAGAGCTTCGCAAGTCTGTGCAGGAGTGGTCTGGGATGGCCACGGTGCCCGATGCAAGTTCTAGATTCGTCGTCTTTGATCCGCAGCCGATTTGGTTGCACCCTGTCCTGCGCCCCAGCAAGTGGGAGGACTCTCGCTGCCAGACGATTGTTCTCCTCCTGGGTCGTCGTCCTTCTCATGGGCCCTGGACATCCGACGTCATGCCCCCGCTCTGCGAAATCCTAGGTCTCCCAGATGGGGTCCGAGTAGATGGGTCGTAGGATCGCGCCGCGTCGCCGATGCATCGGCGATGCGGCTCGAAGTCGAGCTCGATTTCTTCACGCCGACGTCGCCGATGCATCGCCAGTCGCCGATGCATCGGTGATGCTTCGACGATGCGGCGCGATCCTGCGACCCCATCAACTCCAACCCCATCGGAGCGGCTTTTAGGCATGGTCATAGGCTCCTGGGTTTCTCGACCCCGTCCCAGGGCCCGGTCATTCATCCCGGGCAGCTTTTGAACTTGTCCTTCGGGTGGGTGGTAATGGGGTGTGACCTACGTGGGGGGTGAAGGGCCTTAAAGGAGGCCTTTAGGACTTCTTTTGGGCCCCTATTTGCTCCAGAAGGGGCCCTAAATGGCCCTCCATTACCACCCACCCAAGTCCTCGCGGCTAGAAGCATGGCGCTCCGGAGGCGCCAGTGTGCAAAGCTGGCCCGCCGTGGCCTGGCTCGCGGCTCTAGAGGCCCGTGGGCAGGTGCACTTCTTCATCAATTCCAAGGTCGCCTCCCTTCACCACCAGAGGACCGACCCATCCTCATGATTGCTCGGCCCCTCCTCTCCATGGCGTCGACACTCCTCAACTTGCTGCATCATCGATTCACTTGTCCCTCCTCAGCTTCTCCCCTTCTCCCCCTCCCCCTCCTCACCTGCAGTCGAGATCATCTTCCTGCTCTCTAG